TATCATATTTATCATTTTTTCTAAATTCCCCCTATAAATTTCCCTCAACCATAACTAAGAAGAAAAGAGAAAAAGGATATTAAAGAAGGTGATAACTAAGAAAAAAAGAGAAAAAGGATATTAAAGAAGGTGATAACTAAGAAGAAAAGAAAAAGGATATTAAAGAAGGTGATTGTGATGTTTTAAGAAAAACATGTCACATTTTTTATAATTAACTAACTTATCTAACTTCCTTAATCTAATCAAATTAGTTAAATAAGTTTTATATTAAGGACTGGAGGAGTACAAGATATGATACTTCTAGGATGCATTTATATATTCATGAAAAAATTTATAAAGCAAACAAAACATATAGTTGGAGTTCAAACAAATGTAGACTAGAATATAGTCCTTGTTACTACTGAATACCAAAAAATACATAATTTAGTATAAGAACAAGTTGGGAGCTTAAATTTCATCCTAAATATAAAATCTCAATTTATTTTGTTTCTCAAATTTATAATCCCCCCCTCCCAAAATATTCTTAAGGAGTTCCTATCAAAAGGTAATTCCAATATACCCATCTAGTCTTAAATGTAAGACTTATTTCATAGGGTAATTTACAACTCAAATTGTGTCTTATATTTAGGACAAGAGGAGTACGTGATTAAAAATGATAATTTAAAAAAACCAAGGTGCATTTATTATAAATAATAAACTTAACTAATTTTTTTAACATTTGTAAGTTAGTTACCTAGCTCTTCTATTAAAAAAATGGAGGTAATATCAATCTTGTTTGGATCCTTTTAGAATATTTTATAAATAACTTTTTAATCATGATTTACGAAATAAGGAATAAATATATGATTGACATCATATGCAAGCAAAGATAAGATAATACTCCTCCGGTCCTTAATATAAGACCCATTTAACTAATTTGATTAGATTAAGGAAGCTAGGTAAGTTAGTTAATTATAAGAAATGTGACACTTTTTTTCTAAAACACCGTAATCATCTTTCTTAATATCCCCGCTTCCTCTTCTACTTGATTATGGTTGAGGGAGTATTCATAGGGATAATTTAGAGAAAATTGATAAATATAAAAAATAAGTCTTATATTTAGGACCAAAACCAACTCAATAATTGGTCCCATATTAAGGACAGGAGGAGTAGTATTCTAAAATTTTCTAGCGCCATCAAAGTAATTCCTTGCATTTCCCTTTTTTGCCAGCTAATTCCATGCATTTCCGCTTATTGTTTCCTCTCCCATATAAAATGAAAAGCTTTAACATCATCATCTTTAACAGAATTTAATTTCTGTATAAAAATGTCTTGAAGGATCCACTAAGATTATAGGATTATTCGATGTGTCTAAAAAATTTTAAATTTTTTTCTTAAAAAAGTATTTCAATTTCAATAGTATGTATCTGCTATCTTGATCCTATAACTGTTCGAATATTAAGAAAATTAATTAAATTAATTATTTATAATAAATGGGTGTTGTCTTTCCTACAATATCATTATTAATTATGTGTATTAGAACTATTATTTAATATAAATTCTTTAGCACATGCAATCAGTACAAGGATTACTTTGGGGAAAAAAAAGACAAATATGTGAGATGAGATGGATTTATGTCTTATATTTAAGATTAAATTAAATATCCAATTAACTTTTATATTAAGGACTGGAAATAGTATAAAGTATTGTTGTGTATGATTATCTGATATAATACAGTACCAATACATCAAACAATTTGAAGTCTTGATGCTTCTTTGGAGTGTTCTTTTAATTTACTTTGAGTACTAAAGGCAAACGATAGACTGTTCCCAATTATGTTACTACATATACAGGGTTGACATCTAAACTCACAATCACTTGATTAAATATTTTGGCCAATTTTACCATTTATAAATTATACCCCATGTAACCTATTACTTAGTAATCAGAAAAAGTAATCTGGCAAAAATGTAAAAACAATTGTTGTATAATTATTTTATTTTATTTTATAAAGAACACGGGCTCGATATGCATCCGAATATTTAATAATTAGTGGCTTTAAGGAATGAGTTAAAACAATGGCTAACTGCCTTAGTGGTAATAATGTCACCTTTAGATAATGTCAAATCGAACATACAATCTTGTGTATTATATATTACATAGAATGAGATCATAACACTGTTTTTTTTTCCCCCAAATAGATGCAAGTTTTCTAGAAGGCAAAAGGTATAATTTAAATCCTCAAAATTGTTGAAATTTTTATATAGAAAATCTTATTTAACACTTAGAAACCATCAAATATTTAAATCTAATTTAAAGTTTGTGTTTTTATTTGACAGTTAAAAATACTAAAATAAAATTATTTTATATGACGATAATATATTTAAAAAAACTGTCAAATATAGTTATTTTATTTGAAAGTTTTGAGTTTGAGTTGAGTGTTGATATAGTGGGGTGTGTGTGTGTGTAGGGTGTTTGAATTGTATAAACCAAACGAAAAAGGGAAGGCACTAAAACTGGCTAATGATATATTTACCATGTTGAATAAATTGAAACAAGAGAACCTAAAAATGAATTATAATATATATATTTTTGCCAAAAAAGTGAATTATAATATGTGATTTTTAATTAATTACTATATATAAAACTAGCACTAAATTTTAGTAATATCATATACATGCTATTTACAAAAATTATAGTATACAAAGGCATTGTATATAAAGCTAATATATGTGTTCAATTAATGGTGATATTATATGAAAATAATTGTTCTTCCTATATGTTTTTACTTTTCGAGTGGGATTGAACACTTGTCTATTATATGGGGAGAATTACAATAAAGTCTTAAAAAAAATTCCTACTAAGTCCTTAAAACTTGTCTTTGCAGCCTGCTTTGTCATTACTGGGACTTTTTAATAATTATATTCCTTATTTAAAACTTCATAAAAATTCCCCGTATTATATATTGCCAAGAGCAGTAAAATTCCCCGGATTACTACTATTTTTATTTTCTTCATGAATAATAATAAAAAAGAGCACAGTTCCACCACTTCACTGCAGCCCAGGAACAGCTAAGTTGAAACAACTACACACAGCTATACACTTGCATTATTGTACAACCACTACTCATAAATTTAAAATCTAGCACTGTGCTTTTCAGGCAAGAATGGTTTTCACAAAACTTCAAAAAGAAAAAATAAAAAAAAGATCTACTGCGCTTCTTCCTTCAGAAGCTTTAATTTCATTCAGGGAAAGAGTAACCTGCGATTCAGTAAATAAAATAACGATTAATGAAACTTGATAATCTTAATTGTTTAGAGTTTTAGACTAATCAAACTCACCCACATGGATTGCAAATCATTCATGTAAGCCACAGGGACTTACCATTAAAAACTTCATCGTCATGGACAACTACATTAATGAGGTCAACAATAACATATCAAATGTACACAGACACGCAAGTGTAGGAAGTTGCAGTACTAACAAGTTGTAAAAAGTGAAGCTTATTTAGAGCACTAGGCCCATTCAAAGCAAAATCTAATAAATCTGATCTTAAATATAAGTGCCAGATAATTAATTTACAGTTATTGAGAATGATTAATGGGGTTTGTTATCTGTAATAAATGTGGTAGTTTACCTAAAGCAACACATTCATTCATTTGAATTGAAAATTACCTTCACCGATTTTATTTTTTTTTTTGAAAAAAGCCCTTTAGTATTGCAACCAACATGATTGTTTGGCAAAGAATTATAAATTTGTAAATAAAATGGATTTAGGACTTACAGTTGAAACCTAAACAATGCTCTTAACTAACTTCCATATTTAGGACCAAATACTTTTGAGGGAGCAAAATAACTAGCCTACAGTAACCGGAGATAAAACACAGCTCTCTCATCAGTGGCGTTTATAGCAACTTGCCTTGTCGCGGGAGACGTGTCTGATGGCTGATGTTGTTCATCCTCAAGCCACTGGGCCTATCAACACATAATTTCATTTCCCAGTTCGATGCAATTCCCAGATAAGTACTGACAAAAGCAAAGACCATAGGAATCTGAAACCTGTTAATTACCTGATCTAATCTCTGGTTTTCTTCCATGGATTTGATTAACTGGATGAGCATTAAGTTTAAAAACATGGTAAATGCGACGTTATATTATCACTATGGAGACACATTAATGAGAAATTAATTGACAAGAGAATTAGTGACAAGAATCTGACAACCTTCTTTAGCCTCTGGTTTTCTTCCTTGAGTTCGTCTTCCTTCATTGACATCAAAATTAAGACCCATCATTAAAACAAATAAGAGACATGAATGAAGACTCAGATCGTACTACAAATGTTAACAAATATTTTACTAATGTAATATGTTACTATGACTAAAATATGGGATGGAGGAAGTGCCTTAGACATTACTGCATAGCATATTATATTACTACAAGAAATGAAATAATGGAAATATAAACTCAAGTTTATGGTTAAACTTAATCAGATGTGCTAAGTTCCTTTTTTTTTTTGTGTATTTAAGTTGTTGATGATGGTAAGTATAGACTTTTTGATAAAGTTATGTGTTTAAAATTTAATAAAAAAAACATGTGCTTTAGTTCTATGAGAGTTTATCTATGTTAGAATTTATGTGCCGTTAATTTGAGGGATGTCATTTGTGGTTTTTTGTAATCTCTATTAAATATGGGCTTATTTGAAGGGTTATGAAAATTACTCTCTCCATTCCTTTTTATTCTTTGGGTCAATTCTCTCCATTCCTTTTTAATGGTCACTTTTTAAGAAAATGCTTGTTTATATTTATCTGTCATTACAAAATTTGAAGGTAAAAATAATTACTATTTTCTTCATTCTACCCTTGTCTTTACTAACTTCAGAATCCCAAAGGCAGCATTAATTACTAAAATAAAAGGTCAAGTTAGAAGGAATTGATTCTGATCAATACCTTCTCATTATAGCAGAGAGGAAAAGACTGAATATAATGCATATAATGCTTTTGATAAACAAATATAACGCTAACCTTTTTCTTTAGAATATTGTTCTCCTGCTCAATTACTTCAACCTGAAACACATGGAGTTAGTTTCTATCTGTTATAAATATTGCAAGCTGCTTTTTACCCATGCCATGGAATCAAAAAACAGATAGAAATTACAAGCGCATCATAACTGTTTACTATTGCTAAATAGTATAGAAACAAATGAAAAAAGAAGAGGCAACTTTATATTGACCAGCAAACAGTATCAATAAATTCTAATTTATATAACATAGTAAATAACATGGCCTATTATCTCTCCAAAAAATGCCTTTTTGAATCAAACCCCATATGAAGCTCGGAAAAGCAAGAAGCCTCAGGTAAGCCACTTACAATTCTTAGTTGTCTAGCATATGTTTAGGTTAAATTTCATTCTTAAATTGATGAAAAATTTAAAAAAAAAAAACCTAAATTTTAAATTGGCTATAGTAGTCAAACCAAAGCATGTCATCTGTATAATCTTACAAGTGTTAAAGTAATAGTTAGCAGGAATATTGTATCCAATGAAAGGCCAGTTGGGAATGGAATATTAACAAGGGAGCCATTCTCATTTGAATCCCTATAGACTAGAGTTTGACAATAGACAAGCAACGGCACCCTGCATTGACGAGTCCATATTCTTACTCATTTTCCTCACCTAGTGAAAGAAGCACCGCAAGATCAACAAGTTCTTCAGCATGAAGATCCTCTGGTGAAATACCGCCAAAAAATTCAAATGTTTACTAAAAGTAAATTTATGGATTTTTTAATTTTTCTGTGTATGTTTCAAACGCCAACACCCAACTTCTTTAGAAGCAGTGGAAAAATTTGAGCGGCAAAGTGCCACGATTGAGGAGATTCAAGCCATTCATAAAACCCAACATGCGTCGGAGTTAGATGTTCATGAAGGCAAAAATGTTATGGGGTCCCGAGGGGTGCGGTAGGGTTGTTAGAGCCCAACCCATTTAAACCTTTTTAAATTGAGGACCAGCAGGCTTAAAAATTAGGTCCCAAAATGAGTAAATGGGCTAAAGTTGGGCCCCGTTGGGTCAAATAATTAAAAGGCCATCCCTTAAATGTATGTTTTCTAATTTTTAACCTGCTAGAGACCAAGAGAGCTTCGCTCCTTCCATCCTCACACCAACTGCCCTCTGATCTCATTCTCAAGCTTCAACTCTTCGATCTTCCTTCAACTCTCAAAGTCCCACTTAGCTTGGCTGTTCTCCATCTAGATTTGATGCAGTATAAATTGTTTGTTTTTTTATCCTTCCCCACTCTTCCGCCGACAATACAGTGTCCTTGACTTCTTTCTCCTAGGCTCTCCTTCGTTCCTTTTGTGCTGTACTCTATCCTACTCCTCTTGTTCTTTCATTTAACATGGTTAATGTTCTATTAACATAGAGTAGTTATTATGAACTAGATCAGAGCATGTTTGGATCAATTATTTGTGCTTAATGTTAATTTTGTTTGTTCAAACACGCATTTATTTGTTTAGTTGAAGCTTGGCCAATATTAATTATCAATTAGGAGGATTAGGGTTTTCCTTGATAAAGGGAATCTTGATTATGAATATAGATTGGGAAAGCGAGATTAGATATGTTCTAATTTTCCATTAGGATAAACATCTACCTAACGGGCCCCATATAATCATTAAAGAGTAACTTTGGATTTTATTGCCTCTTGACTAATTGGCATGTTTAACACTTTAAGAGAGAAGTATATGTGAATGAAGAGACATTAATAGCCACTAAAACTTCCTATTAACTAAAAGGGATTACCATTATAGGGTATGTGGTTTTGGAACAAGAACATTACCATTATGGCTTATATATTTTTTATTTGAAAATGTTAAAAATAGCTTTTTTGGCCCGGCCCTTACTAATGGAAGCACTTAAGAGTATAAAGCTCGATTTGTTTTCAAGTGATACTAACAACAAGGTATGAATTTTGAGGAGACTTCTCCTCCAACTGCTCAATTTGAAATTGTGAGAGTTGTTTCATTTTTGGTTTCTTAGTTGCAGTTACCTGTTATTAATTTGATTCAAATTCTGCTTTTTAAATGATGAGTTAGAAGACGAGGTTAATGTGACATCCTATAATTTAAAAGGAACTCACATGAAAATTTGTAGGGACCAACTTGTAAAGAATGATATTGAGGTTTTATCCTAATTACGTATAGTGAAGGAGAAGTTGCGGCAGAAATATATATAACTTCAATTCTGCACAAGATAGCAATCCTACTCTTCTTATATGTCTGTCTTGTTTGAGTGCCTAGTTTATTTTATGTAATTTTATGTGATAAGTAGATCTGTACTCAAAGTTAGAGCCTTGAATAGTTAAATATTGGCTCTTTGACAAAGAATTATACCCTTGTGGTAAAGAAACTTGAAGGCAGAGCCTGTATAGTAAGAAAGCCTTGTGGCTAAGAGATGTCTTTATGGCCTAAAAAGCAGGATAGGTAAGGGGGAGAGTGCAGTGGTTCTCTAATAATGAATTCTAGGTGTTTATGATATCATCTAATTAATATGTATGTCATCTTTTATATAATGATTCATTTTATGTTATTATATATGTGTATTCCCTTCCTATTGGGATTTTCCCCAAAATATCATCCCATCTTGTCAACCCATGCTTGTTGAAGTTAGGGGAACATACAATGACAGGCAAGTTGTCAATGAGTTTTGAGAAGAATAAAGAGGATCTAATTCAATTGTGATTCCGTTACATTTGGAATAATTAAGAGATGAAAAGTATCCCATAATTGTCTTAGATTTATCAGGTTTCTCTTATTGGAGTTATAACGGTCAACCTAAGTCATATTTGGCATATTCGGTAAATTATAGTTATAAATAAATAAAATGATTTATGAACAGAGATTTGATAGGACTATGAATGATTTTCCTATATCTGTACCCATTCGATATATAGGATATGAGGATTAGGAGACTGCTCATTATCAATTTTAAAAGGAATGCGGATAAGTTTAGTTACTGTCTTAAATCGGTCATTGAGAGCATTATTTAATTTGTATCTTACATAGTTGAAGGGTCAAATAGCATCAAACAGGAAAAATCATTTCCTATAACTAAAGGACATGTAGAGCGTTAAACTAGAATTTATTTAGGCTACGTCGATCCCTGTAGCATGAGGCAAAGTTGAAATCCAATACAAAAGAAAATGTTTAAATTATGCGTTTTGTATGAGGATATAGTTGCTTCTTGATCTGCGATTTGAAATTATGTTCACAAAAGGGGGAAAGAATTATAGATCACTACTAATATTCTTTGCTGGAACCATGGATTAAGGTAGCCTTATGGTACCCCCCCCCCCCAAAAAAAGTAGCCTCATGGCAGCCAAAAAACAAAGAACAAAAAGGTAGCTTTATAAAGAGACTTTAGTTGACCTTTCTAATGATAAAAGAATAGGGAGGTCTTGACCTTATCTAATTTTTATGTCATTCACCTCCTATTTTTTATGCTGCAATGAATATTTGAAATATAACATATAGTTTTGTCATTATAAAAGGGACAAATCGAATATTATGAGCTAAACAAGATGAACAATGGTCAAATAAGCCTCTGCATACTAGACAGTTATTTCAGAAGGAAAATGACAAAAAAAAAAAACATGTTGAATTTCAAAAAGACAAATAGGCTGTGGTTACTATTCTTGTAATGGTTTGGACTACTCTTCTAATGACTTTAGCAAGTCAAAATCGGTCAAAATCACTTAGCTGTCATTTTGAAATTCAACATGTATTTTTTTTTGGGGGTTATTTTTCCTATTTCTTAAATAAGCCATTGTTTAATTGACAGTTGATAACTGTAATTTACGAGTGAAAACAATCATAAAATATTTCAATTTTTTTAGCACTGTCATAAAAGGAAAAGACAAACCTTTGCTTTTGAAATGCGATGCAAGCTTGTGCTAAGTAAATGTTCTAGCTTCCTCAGATCTTTTACAGACAGCCCTTGTAGATCTTCTCCATTGAGCTGTCTATTATTAGAGGTAGAGCAACATATTTGAATCTATAATAAACACATTGTACATCCCCCATAATAAAATCTTTAACACCATTTAACAATGGTAATAATAGCTTATTTCAAGAGTCTTCTCTTCTATTTCCTTGTTTAGCTTAAAATATTCACCTTCAACCTGTCCAATTACCATATGCTTTCCACATTCAATAACAAAAGTTTTAATATACTACAAGCATTTTCATATTAGGTATGTATATGGTCCATCATAACCTTGAATAAAAAAAGAAGTTACTGTTGAATACTTATAGCAGTAATATAATATATTCTCCCACTTTTAAATATTAGTTAAGAGGTTTCTTTGACCTCAGTTCACTTAGTATTCCAAATCTATAATTTTTCTCGAAATTATCTCTATTTTTATAGGCATTAATATCCTCCTATTAGAGGCAATGCTAATTACACAAATAAAAGGAGTTTTCGTCAATGAGTATAGTTTCCAATGCCAGTGACTAGAGTGGATATTTCAGGATAACCAACACATTTTTTAACAAATAACTAATTTAATTTTCTTAATATATATAAATTAGTTATCTAACTCATATATTTAGGGTGAGGGAAGTATATTGTACTCCCCCTGATCCATATTATAAGACGTTTCTAACTAATTTGCAAATACCAATAAAAATAGTTAAAAGCATTAAATTTGTCATAAAATTTAAGAGATTTCTAATATTATCCTTATTAATCACACTATATTTCATATCATACTAATTTTTATTCTCTCTCACTATCCTTATTAAATATGGGCATATATGGGAAGAAATTTTTAATGCTCATTGAAACTAGGGAAAATTCCAAAAAAAAAACCCTTGGAATATATGAAATTCCAAATTGGGTCCTGAAATTGTGTAAATGACAAAAAGGGTCAATGACCCAATCTGTCATTTGTAAAATCAAGAGAAATCAACAATTTTGCCCTCATTTGTATTCATTCACTATAATGATTTAAGGAATCACTATAAAGGTTTAGGCGTTACCTAAATTCATGTAGAGAATAACTACTCACTTTGTCGTAATCAGGTGCCTTGTTATTAACTACAACTAATCATGTAATCACTAGAACAGAGTAAGCGTTACCTATATTCGTGGAGAAAATAACTACTCACTTTTCCGTAGTCAGGTACCTTGTTATTAATTACAACTAATCATGTAATCACTAGAACAATGTAAGCGTTGCCTAGATTTGTTTGAGAATAACTATTCACTTTTGCTTAGCCAGGACAAAGTTGTCAATTCCTCTTGATTTTACAAATGACAGATTGGGTCATTGACCCTTTCTATCATTTACAGAATTCTAGGACCTAATCTGAGATTTCGTATATTCCAAAAGCTTTTTCTGAGATTTTCCTTTGAAACTATCAAAATGTCTTATAACCAAAAATATTTTTGTAAGATTTTTTATGTACAGACACACAAGACAGAGATGGGGACAAGAAAGATGAATCAAAACAGCAATAGATGAGGGGGTAGAGAGCAGAAGAAAAATTATACCTGTAGCTCTTGAGATAGCTGGTATGACTTCACAAGGTTCACATCTGAGTATAGGTTTCTCCTTTCAATTACTTGCCTCGTGCTTAAAACAACAAAAACATTGAAAATTAAAATGGAAGTCATACTTTAAAACTATTTCTAACCGAATTATATAACATAAATTATCATTTGATGAATTAAAATTATTTATCGAATTTAAATTTTAACGGAAGTCATACTTTTGCTGGGGGGAGGGACACAATGGAAGTCATGGTTAAAATAAGTGAATTTAAATACAGCATTAAATTTGCTTATGTATTCAATCAGTCATGTATATATAGACACCAATGAATTTATTCTTAGTGGCTTCTATGGCCAAACATTACAGATGGGTGTTTTATTTAGAGATATAAATGTGACAATAATGTGTAATATAATAGCATTTGTTTCATTAACCGACTCTGAACTCCAGATAGACTCATTCAAAATTATAACATTTAAATATTGCTATTAATGGATATCAAAATATGAAGACAATAAGGAAAACGTCAAGAGCAATCTGTGATAAGTTGATAGCCTTACAAAACTTTTAGTATCTTCAAAGCAAAAGTGACCCGACTGTTCTAGTAGCACGTTCTCATAATCCTCTTTAAACTGTTTTAATCCACCTAACTAATCAATAAAAACCACAAAGAAAAAAAATTATGTACTAAAAGTTAATTTGGGATGTTCTCTATTGGCGCAAAAAAGAAAACATACCTACCTCTTAAAAGTATGCCGTATTTGTACTTCTCTAGACCATTTAAATTAAACTAGAAGATTTAAATCTTCTTTTGATATTTTTTATTTTGAAAGAAACATAGTAAAAAAAAAATATATATATATATATATACACACACAATTTTCCAACACCATTGAAAGTGATTTTGAATAAAAATAGAATTAAAATATTAAGATAAAAACCATCTCATATACAGACTATATCTCCCTCGAGATGAAGAGAGGACGTGCAGTACTGCTCGAACAGCGTATTGTGAGGTTTTTTTTTTTTTTTTTAAGAAATCAAAAACGAATACATTATTCTTGACTTGTGAATAGTGTAGTTTCTTGTAGATTTTATATAATTTATATAACTATATTGATCGTTATGGAAAGGATCATATTTTTTTTTACAGAAGGAAAATAGCATCTTGACATCAACAAAGGCCCCTGGAACTGAAGCAGCTTCATGAAATCTAATATTCCTCCATATATATCGTAGTAAAAAGTTAAAGGTATAAGCAAAACACAGTTATGATGAGATTACTCATTATTTTCAATTATACCCACATGATTAATTCTCAGATACACACACATATAAAAGCACACAAAAGGACTATATCACAACTTTTTGGTCAGCACATCTAGTTCAAGTTTTCCTCTTACAGCAGGAGAAGTACTGTGTGGAAGCAACTTGAATCTAAATCATTTCAATTAGAGAGAGAGAGAGAGAGAAGATACCTTGTATTGGCATAACAGAAGTTAATTTTCACCGAAACATGAACATGGTGATTGATGATCAAACAGATGAGATACATAAATGCTGACACTTAAAAAAGAATAGACAAATGAATTATGGATCAAACTTGGTATGCTAATAATCTATATTCTAGGTTGAGTTATTGTGCTTTTTAGAGCCATTTCATGTGAAATCTCACTCTAGCAAAACTGAAGGAGATTATATAGACAAATTTAGAAGAGAGCACGAATGAGATGAATAAAAGCATAGGCTATCACAGCTTCTTTATCAACAAATAAAGATCAGGATTTCTTTCCCTCTAAACAAAAACGAAAATCCCAGACGTGATTAAAATTCAGATTATTCTGATTCCTAGTTATAGAACACACATATACATTATATACAGAGAGAAAAGATACCTTGTACTAGCATAATCAAAGAGTTTGCCCGAAGCTGAAAATACTAAGAGAGCAATCTCAGCATCACAGAGAGTTGACAGCTCCAGAGCCTTCTTGAATAGACCTTTCCTTCTCTTTGAGAAAGCCACCTGCCTCGCAGCTACGTTCTCGATCTTCTTTATTGCTATCTTCCTTCTCGTCATTTCAACCAATCTCTCCTTCAAACTAAAACCAAGTTAAATCAAAGAGAAAGAATTAGGGAAATCTAAATATTTAATCCAAATTACGCAGAAGAATATTATCTGCGTGTTAAACGAAAAAGACAAGCATAAAATGAAGAGAGCTTGGATTGGGTGTAGGTGGAGAGACAAGATAAAAAGAGCTTGAGGCTTGGATAGGATAGATTAGGAAGGAAAAGTGCAGATCTAAGTGAGAAATACAGAGAGAAGGGGAGGTTTCTTCTTGAGAAGGAGAGCGAAGTGTTGTTACCCGCAAGAATATTCTGAAATGTGATGACTGAAGAAAGGATGAAGGATAGAGTCCTGTTGAGCAGCAAATTATTCAGGAGGAGACAGGCTTTCCCAAATTTAAAAAAACAAAAAAAAAAAGGAAAAAAAGAAAGGGGAAAATTACAACAAGATCCAACTCAAAAGAATTAAACACAAAAAGATCCCTTAAAATAATCGAATTATTCTCAAGTCCCAAGTACCTCATTGCAATAAATTTTATTTGTTTAATTACCAAATTGTTCTTAATTGTTTTTTTAAGTTTACATTAACAACTAAAAGAGCAATCGTTAACAACTTAAAGTGTAAGGATTAACAACTATCACAGCAGGTTAACAATTTTTTTTAATTTGTCATTTTGTGCGTTGGGTAAATTAATTGCATTAATTGCAACTTTATATATGGGCACATGTATTCGCCATTTAGTGCCACGGGTTCGGGATCACTAATTCACTATTAAAAGAAAATTTTTCGTCAAAAACATAAGTAATTTGTAGGGTATTTAACGATTATTTTCTAATTTTGTGAGCTCTTTTTTAATTTTTATTGAAAAAAGGGAAAGAAAAAAGAGAGATAACAGGTAGGAATGATTTGTAAATAAAGAGAAATAGAAAATTTTAATGAGGGAATGTTCGAAAAATTTTATCCATTAATGCAGTTTTTGGGATGTGAGAATAAGTTATAAGTGACTTAAAATAAAAACTAGAGTAGTATTATATTTTATGAGACAAAATATTATTCACATATTTATTTTATATAATATAAAATTACTAAAAATAAATTGTGTTAAATTATATTTAGTATTCTAAAGTATTTTTTATGGCATTTAGTATCAAAAACTAATTCTTTATATACATTTAGCATTTTAAAGTATTTTTTCAGTAGCACCTCATGTTCTAAAATAAATTTTAGTACAATTTTGTCCTTAAAGCATTTTTCTAATAGCAACATGTACTCTCTACACTCATGATACTGAATGTTACTTAAAAAAAAATATTAATTATGGTGCTACGATTAAGCCTATCCACTACGGTGTTTGCCTCTACGCAGCTATGCATTTTGCATTCTAACTTAAAATTTAGGGCATAGAAAAAGGGAAATTCGGGATTCTTGGCTAGACTTTGACTTAGGGACTTGTTTAGAGGAGTTCTCTGCTAGGATTTAAAGGTTTTAAAGTTTGGGAGCTTTGAGCTTGAAGTTTGAAGGAGATTTGGAGTTTCATTTCTTATTTTCCTTGGTTTTCTTCTTCTCTTCTCATTTGTTTTTGTAATGGCTATGAAATACCCTTGTATTTGTGGCTCTTTACTAAACATGTGTAGCTTGAGTAGTCATTCTAGGATTATTTTGATCTATTGTTTGGATTAAGACTTATTTTAACTCTTTTTAATGTTAATGATAATGTTATTTTGTTTTTACCTTAAGTTTAGTGCTTTCTTGTGA